TGTGTGTGTGTGTGTGTGTGTGTGTGTGTGTGTGTGTGTGTAGAAGAACCTACTTGAAACATGTCTGTGTTGATGTCATGTGTGTACTCCACAATGACAGAGTGGCTCCGTGACAGTGTGTAGGAGATGCTGTGCTGGCTTTTGTTGCTGAGAGCCTGGCAACAGGAAGGTCAAAGGTCACTGCATGGTATTGTGATGTGTCCCACCTATATTTTTTGGTGGAGAAAGAACATTTTAGGGTAACTACCTTTGACACCAGTGGTGTTGAGACATTGTGGATAACATCCGGCTTGACCCCGTTGGCTTTAGGTCTCTTATAAAGGGCAAGGCGACTTCTTCTACGACCTTTGTCACCATTTGCCAGTGACCCATTGTGGCTGGGAGGAATAAGAACAAGAGATTTAATATGTAATACTACTATTGAGCCCAGTTCAATTCAGTTTATTTATATAGCACCAATTCACAACACATCTCAAAGCATTTCACAGAAAAACAGTCATTAGTCCAAAGTTGCTAAAACATAACAGGGTGAAAGCGATTCGAGTTCTGGCTGTGGTAAACTTAAATAGCTTAATTAAAAATAAATCTGGATGTTATATCATCTGTCCATCGTTTCTTATTTATACAAAAGATTTAGATTTAAAGGTTTAATATTTTGCCATTCCTACATTAATCACCTCCAGCCAGATACTGAATCTGAATGTCAAACACTGTAGTTGTTTTACATATCTGAATCATTGAAATAACTGTACAGTATGTCTCATTTTCAAATAATAAACTTCATATGTGCAAGCAGGAAAATTGATCAAATACCTTTTGATTATAGAAATACTACAAACAAAGTCAAATTAATCCTCAAACCTGCTAGTCACAGTTATTCCATTACAACATGCTTCCACTACAGAAATAAAACAACAATAACCTTAAGAATGAGTTATGGAAAAACCATCATCACTTCTACTGAATATAAGTTCAGATAAATTTACTCCCAACGTCCAAAATCACACACATCAGTTTAGTGGCAGCAGACTCAACCACCATGCAGGGATTCACATCATGGAACCTTTTCTGTCTTTCCCAGTTCCTCCTCCCAGTCAGCCCAGCATGTTTCCCTTCATCATCTGAACAGTTTGCTTCTTTATCTTGACCTATAATCTGAACCTGAAACTCATTTTGGTAACACTTTATTTGAAGGGGTGAGCATAACACTGTCATGAACATGAAGGAGTCTTCATGAATGTTTATGACTTTTGTTATAAAGTGTCATTCAGTTAATAATGACTCTTTTAATGCAAAGTTGACACTTTTAATTGACTTTTAATGCAACGTTTAGTGCAACTTTGAATTAAAAGTTGACTAGTGACAGACTAGTCAGCCACTAGTCAGACTAGTGGCTGACTAGTCTGAGTGACTAGTCAGCCACTCAGACTCGCTTCAAGAATTAGTCATGAGAAAAAGCGTTTGGTGAGAGTGTTCGCTGCACGACCTCACCCCAGGATGATGAGCTCGCCGTACTTGATGGGCTCCTTGTCCTCAGAAATGACTCCGTCGTGTGGCTGTGAGCTGGAGCCCAGAGGAGGGGAGGGCTGGCTCTTGTTGCAGGACGGGCGCAGCTCCAGAGATGGGGGGGGACACAGCGCCTCTGAGCTGCCCTTCAGAACCATGCCCACCGGCCACAACTGGGGCTCGCTGCTGAGGAGCAGGACACAGAGACGGTCACAAAATGATTCCTCCTTCTTTTGAAACACTACAAGCCTATTCACACACTCTGAATTCAGCTGCAAATGCAAATGAGAACAACATGATCATTGTAGGAACAGCAGCGGGACCTTCTGTCCTACACACACACACACACACGCACAGACACACACATTACTGAGTCACCTGGCTCCTCTGACTTCAGTTTGAGAGTCAAAGCTCAGTCCATGTGTCTGTGAACAGATTCAGTTTGGCTCTGAATGTCCAACACTATTAATAATCAGAAGTGGGCAAGACCACCTACACATGGAAAACAGAGCAGTGCAGAGCATCACAGAGCTCTCACTCTTTGTTCTCTCTTTGAAAAGGTTAGGTAACCATCCTGGGATTATTAACGGCACATCCCAAATTTGGGCATCCTCTTTGTTTTCTAATTCCCGGTCATTGTTGAGGAACAGTCTGAAGCCTTCAGGTGGAACCAGAAACACTAATAAAGGAGGTTTTGGACATGTGTCACACGCAGTGGTGGCTGTTTTACTTCAGAGAAACTCAGAGGATCTGGACGAATGAGACACACTTCTAAATAAAAAAAGAAACAGGGGAATTTACTGAGGGCTTATTTACAAACCATTACATGAAATAATTAGCCAGAGTTAACAACAGTGGATGATTGGCTGGGCTTTGAATGATAAATATTAAGTAGCAAATAACCAAGAAACTAATAGGTTGTTGTTCAAACATGAAATGATTTTCATAATGAGACGAAGTGTGTTTAAGCAGAGACATGGTGTCACAACCTGACAGCTTTATACTCTTCAGAAATACTTCCCAGCCTCCTCATCCTGATGCAGCAGGTTGAGGATCCAACATGTTCTTCAGGTATCACTTTGATTCTGAACCACAACATGAACGTCTTCTGGACTCAGGCAGAACAAGATGGCTGAAATCCTCACACTGCCCAGAACAGAGCAATGCTTTAGGTTAGACTGTTTCACAGGAGACCAGTCACCTTATTCCTCCTAGTATTTTGCTAAGTCAGAGCATGATCCAAAACATGTGGATCCTGTCAGACCCAACAGAACCTCCGTTCAGCCCAGGAAGGATCACTGGATCAATGGGTGGAGAGCCGGTCAGGGCTGAGGGATCTCCGGCCGTAACCACAGCAATCAAAGAGCACAGGCGGACGGACACGAAAGAATGAAGGCACTAAAATCTACATTTGTTTTTCTGCTCTTGCTGTAATTCTGACAGGTAGAGGACAAGCATCCTGAAAACAGAGATCTGCGTCTGTAGGCACCAACAGTAAAGGAGCCATTACTTTTAGATCAATTCAGTTCAGTTCATTTATATAGCTCCAATTCACAACAAACGTTTCAAGACACTGTGCAAAAAAAGTCATTTCAGTTCAAACACAATTTAATCCTAATTATTAGTCATTGGATTAAGTTCAGTTTATTATTCAATGTTTCTGTAAGGAAACCCAGCAGAGCATCAAGTCATTGACCTGCAGTGTTCAGTCATCCTGGATGACAACATAGAGACAATCACTCTGTTGAGTCGTTGACTTTACAGCAATCCCTCATACAGAGCGTGCATGTAGTGGCAGTGGAGAGGAAAAACTCCAGCTTTAGAATCAGCTTCTCAGGACTGTGGAAGAAAAACAGCATGCTGAATAAAAACCGTCTCCAGTCGAGCTTATCACAAAGAAAGCTTCAAGTCCAGATCAGATCAGAACCCTGGTGATAGACGGAATCTAAACTGACTGCAGTGATGACCTAAAGCCATCACTATAGCCACCATGATGCTACCAGCCCACACTGTTTGTTTAGTGAGGCATCTGAAAACAGGGAGAAACACGCCCCCTGCTGTTGGAACAGCGTTGGTTAGGTTGCACCGTTCTGATAGGCTGACTGTAGTCTGCATCACCTCTCCAACCTCGAGCATCAGATCTGTGCCGTCTGCAGGAAATGAGACAAAAAACTCAGTTTCCTGTTTTGGTTCAGTTTTGTAGAGAAAATGTTCAACAGACCAGAAGGTAACTAACACCAAACCTCAACTTAACCTTATCAATATAAGGTACACAGCTTACAATAGAACTGAGACACCTGACAGGAGTTTAAAGATTGTCTGTCTGTGATGACAGACTGCAGAGAGGAACTTAGTGAGGAGTTTTCTTGAACATCAGCATGACAACTTTGTAGGTAATACCAAATATTTCATGGAAATTTGGTTACAGAAAAAAAAGCCTTATTTCATCCAGTGAGCTCAGTTTGTCTCCCTGCTGTATTTCTCTGCTGCCAGCCTTTTTGCACAGTAAATATTCTAGCTGAGCTGAATAAATTCCAAATACTGTATGAGAGCAAAAGAAATACACCCTGCATAGTGGAGTGGATGTTGACAACAAGAGAACAGAGGGAGCAGATTTAGAGGTGGGAGTGAAAACAGGAGAGGTGGGAGGTCCAGGAGGTTCAGCTTTGGTGGGAAAAAAAAAAAAAACAGAAAAGCTTGAATCCATCTTTGGACAGAGATGATGGAAGAAGAGAAGAAGAGGAAGTAGAGTGTATGGGTGTGTGTGTGTGTTTGTGCATGTGTGTGTGTCCAGATTTGGCAGGCTGATGGATTGCCTGTGTTGTGCCCACCCATATTCTAACGAAGCCACAGTCCCACTGTGTGGGCAGGAAGCGACAGACATGGAGAAGCTGTCTGATGGAGGAAGAGGAGAACACAGAGGAAGAGTCTGCAGAAGCACAGAGGAGAAAGGCGAGCTCTCGCTCAAAAGCACAAAGATCATCTAGAGAACATTTTGATCCTTTTCATGTGATTTAAGTGGATTTATTTCCGTTAGCATCACTTCCTGTTTCATTTCCAAACATAATCTTCCTGCTAACTCCACCCACAGCTCCACCTTCACAGCACTCAGCCATCAGCTGCAGGTATTCATGGCTGCGGCCCTCACTGTGACCTTCAGAGCTTGGATCTTCTCTGCAGTTTTATGGCTGCTGCTTCTGCAAAGAACTGAGTCTAGAAGCATAGATCTAGATTTACCTCCCTTATAATTCCACATAAGCTTCCTACAGTAGATGATTGGCCAGTGGAGCCACTGCTCCTCTGATCCACCTCCAGGCTGATAGATGGAGAGTTTAACTTAACATTACTCTGCAGGATCTGACAGCAATTAAGTTCATGCCATTAATATACATCAAATATATCTCTATGTCTTCACTTAGCTTATTAATAAAAAAAAAAACTTCTTCAATCCCCATGATGTGATTATAAACATGATCTTCTTGTGAAATAAAATTATCTTACATCCAACCTGTGATACAGAGATGAGGAGTCTTCAGTCGTTCTTTCATTTGTCTTAAAGCTCATATCTACCTCTGATTTTTTACACAAGGGTTCTGCTGAGTGGATATGAGTAGTCAGTAGCTCAAATCCATTAGATCGGCTCATAATCCCACTCAGAATCAGGACTGGAAGATTCTGTTACTGCTGATCTTGGGTAACGTAGAAATAGTTTTTAGATCTCAGAACCCTCCACTGTTTCAGCATTTATGTCATCAGTGCAAATGGCAACATGGGAAAAAAATGAAATAAAAATGTTTTCATAGTTTGAGCAATGCAGTCTGAAGGAAAATTTTCCCATCTCAAAAATACAATAATAATTCCTCCTGATAATGATCAGGACCCATCTTTTATTAACATTAAAGATGGGTTAGATTTACTCTGATTTACCTTTTCATGCAAATCACTCACTGTGAAACTGAACATGTTGAGTGGATTTGATTCTGACCACAGTAACTGTCTCTTGTAAACGTACAGTGCTACAGAAGATAAAACTCTTATAAATCTAGTAAATATTACTCTGCATGCAGGCTCAGTTGTTCTGTTTTGCAGTGCAGTGCATGTTCCACCAGGGAGGAAGACAAACCGGTGCACCTCAGTGGTTTGACTGGCCGTTAGCTTCACAGGAAACCTTCTGAAATCTGCTCTCTTTATTGAAGCACAGTGTTAAATATGTGATGTACTGCAAGGAAATTCCACAGAATCTCCCTTTAGTGGATCCAGCTAATATTTTTCGGATTACGGAACATCATCCCGTTTCCTTTTTCCTTTCTCACCGTCTGCCGGGCAGGTGGGAAAGGTCGAAGGAAACAGAGGTAAATAGGAGGAGATAAGTTGATGATCTTCAGGAACAAATGATCAGGTTGTGTTTCGAGAGAATAGCTTTAGCTTCAACAAAACCTGTACAGCTTTTCTCCTTGTGTGGAAGAATTTCTCTATTTTGTCATTGTATTTCTGTCTGAGCTTTAAGTCCATATGAACCAATTCAGACACGACAGCACAAGAAAGGACAGCTGCATGATTTACACGGTCATGTAACAGTGTCTGTTGGCGCCTCGGTCCACTCCCTACTAAACCAGAGGCTCCAGCACTCCGTCTGCTGCCTCAGACACAGAACCAGTGGAGGAACCTTCTGCGCTCTGCCCAAGTTTTCAGGGTCAGAATTTCAGGGCTGCACTGCAGCAAATATTAGCTACTGTGTTCCCAGAGGAACCCCCGCCGTCATTCCACTTCCACAGCAGAATTGGTCCGGGCAACAAGTCCAAAACGGGTGAAATAAGCTAACATTATCAGATCATATTAAACTGCATTGTGAAGCAGAACTAGAGGGATCTGAATTAAAAAGGAACACTCTGTTACAGGGCAGAGTCTGCAGAGCTGAGGGTGGAACAGGTTGGCACACATTAGAGTAAATATGGACTAACTGAATGGATGTGTGAAGGTGTTTTCTGTTTTCAAGGTGGACTGAGGTCATCGTTGAAAAATCAGGTATACAAGTTAGAATTTTACTGTAAGTGTTTATAAATACACCAGGTCAAAAGTATACATACATCCCAGTAAAAATTAACAAACCTTCTGCAGCCATCACCTGCTGCTGGTCGAGTTCAAGTTAACAGAAATGGATTTATTTCCTGTTGGTCCAGCTGAGCTACCCTGAAGCGTTTGTTGTCCTGCTCTTTGTTTTCCAAAAAAAACAAACAAAAAAAACAAAAAAAACAAAGAGCAGGCTGAAGGATTTGCACACTTTGTACAATGACCCAGAAATGACCCACATTATGCATAATGCTGCCTTCACCATGTTTGGCAGCATCATGGTCAAATCTTCACATCAATTCAGTTGTTGGGCAACAAACAGCCTAGACATATACATCTTATTTATATAAATAAATATATAGTCAAATTAATGCAGTTATGTAGATAATTTCACATTGAAATACTTGCATTCAAACTTGACCCAACTAATGACACAAAGTTGAAGTTAGTGTATAATGCATACTGAAAACAATGTTTATCTAAAGAGGTCCAGCCGACTGCATCGAATTCATAACAATCCCTCCCAATTAACAAATACGACAACAGTGGATAGTTGGTTGTATTAATCCCTCAGACTGCGCAAGCATTGTGGACTCTCCTGTACCAGGAAGAAACCTCCAGCAGAAGCAGAACCTGGATCAGTGTGAGCAGCAAACAACTGGGTGTTTGAGAAGACAGAGCATGCACACAGAAACCACAGATCCACTGAAACCAGTCTGTTAGTGGTTTCATTAAAGAATAGCAACACAGCTTAACTGTTAGACTGTCAGGCGATAGAACAATCCATCATATGACGCTACTGCTACATAAAGGCAGCACTCGCTACTTTGATGCCTTTGTCCTGGAGATACATTATGAAACAGAAAGACAGAGCCAAGCACACCACAGAGAGAGGCTATGTTCACAGCAACAGCTCTGACAGTTAGTGAGCAAGGCAACTATACATAGTTAGCAAGCTCAGAGATAAATGTTTAGCCAACATGCTAATTCACGTGCCAATAAGTGGAATTGGACTATGAAAATAAAAATTGTTAATTTTAATATTATTATTATTATTATTATTATTATTATTATTATTATTATTACAGCGTGACTTTACAAGTGCCCCCATAACAAAGCAGCTTAGCTTGCTTATGCCTTACGCCGACTATGGAAGCAACAGAATCGTGAAGAGCAGTTCACAGCACCATGAACTCCTAGACCTGGGTGACCCTGAACGCATCACATCATGCTGTCAAAAACGGAATTCTCTAGAATCTAATGGAGATGCAGGCCCGGAGCAGCCAGAACCACGGCTCTGGATCTGATCTGACCTGCGGCTGGGAGCCAGCTTTTGTTTCCTCCCAGCAGGACAGGCTGTACATGAGTCATTACTCAGCAAACCGGGCTGTTTTGGAGCAGGAGCAAGAAGAAGCTGCCGCTACCTTGAATCTGCCATTTTGAGCTGCCGTCCCACCACGGCCTCTCCTCCTTCATCCACCCTGGAACCATCTAGAAGACAGGAAACACCTCAGCAGGCCGCCAATGCGCCACACAAGGGAGATTTATTTCGACTGAAAGAGCGTCCCTTCTCCACGTATTGTTCCCGCCTGCGGCGTCTGGCTGCGGCTTGCCTTTTCCCATGACAGCCTCCCTCTTCCTCCTCCTCAGAAACACAGTCAGACTGGGACCAAAGGCCGGACGAAAGCAAACAACCACAACAGGAAACCGACAACCCTTGTTCTGCCTCTCGATGGAGAAATGAAGCAGCATCTCGGGATGCTGGAGACGTGCGCAGAGCCCTGCTCGCACAGGGGACTCCATCACACACACACACACACACACACACACACACACACACACACACACACACACACACACACACACACACAGTACACCCTTACGCAAAAAACACACAGCTGATCAGCCGTACATACTGACGATGATGATGATGCTGATGCAGAGGTTCCCAGACCTGGTTCAGATCTCAGCCGTCACTAATACCGACACAACCCAGAGGATGGAGTGGAAAGGAGAGGCTGCTGAAGGAGCAGCAGCCCGCCAACAAAGAGCAGACAGCAGCCTCCATCACCTCCAGCAGCCTCCATCACCTCTATATCATCCTCTCACCAGCAGGAAAACACACAAACAAGCTCAGGCGGCCCCTTCCTGCTCCTGCGATTATTCTAAAGACATAAAGCCCCCAGCCGGGGGTCCGTACCAGCTGTCTGCCAGGGGAGGTCCAGTACCGGTTCGGTTCTGTGAGATTCCTTCTGCCGGTAGAAGAGAAGGCGGGCTCCGTCTGTTCCTGCACAGCCTGGATCAATACGAACCAGAGTGAGGAAGGATGAGAGGCAGAGGAGGATCAGGGCGTCAGGCGCGTCATCGCCTCCCATCAGGAGACACGTCCGCTGCTCCCGGATGTTATCAGCCAAACCCCTCCTTCCTACTCTCTCTCTCCCTCTCCGCTTCTGACATCCGTCCGGGATGAATAATGGCGGAAAACACCCAAGCAAGCAGCGTCGACTCTACGGGATCCCGATGTGGGACGTTTAAAGAACCGTCCGCAAACATCGGTGAAGGTCCGCAGTTCCATCATCTAACAACCCCCATGACCCCACCTACTCTCCTGGCTGCGACCGCAGAAAAAGACGCGTCAGCGTATAAACAGGCATAGCCAAAAGCCTGACACACACACACACACACAACTCTGGAACAAACCAGAGGTCAGTCCAGCACCCGTTTTACTGACTGACAGGTTAAGATCTGGTGAGTTTATTTTAGAGATGCACCGATGTGAAAATTTGCCCTGATATTGATATTCAATCATTTTTATTGCTGTTGTGGCCCATAACCAATATTTACTTACATTATATTTCATTACCCTTTCAAACACTTCAGATGATCTTGTTTCTTGCTGTTGGACATCTTGGATCATCCTTCACCGTAACTGAAATATTCTCAGGAACAGATTTAAAACTCATCTGTTCGTCTTTCATAGACATCAGTCTGGATGGAGGGTTTTGCTGGACTGACTCCATAACAAAACTGAAATTAAAGTTTGTTCCAGGATAAAAATCCAGTGAAAACTGATCATAATCTCAAGTGTCATTTCAGAAAATTCAACCTAGAATTATATTAAGCAAATTCCATCTTAGCACATTTAAAAACTTTTTTTCCCCATGCTGAGTGGCTTTCTGGATGTGAAATATCCACTATGTGCAGATGGAAATAATCCTCAGAGCAGGTCTGGATGTAGTGCATGTAATCCATGACAGATATTTACTACTTTAATGTAAGAAAACAGAGTACAGAGAGAAAACAATTCAAAAACACTAAACGGTACACATAAACCAAAAAGAGTGGACACTTCCTGCAGGTTGACGACTGTAGAGAGAAAAGCAGAGTTCTGACTAACATTTCTTGGCTTCACTGTTTCCCAGAGAAACGCTGCTGCTCCTCTTACTCTGTAAACACAGTTCTGGTCAGTTCCAGGGTGGTAACAGGAAGCCTCCATCTTTCCATGTCCAACACAACGGAGCACAACACTTTCCACCATCGTCAGAATCCCAGACAGTACCTGGTTGCTCAACTACGACTGGAGAGTCTCAATTCTGTTCTGAGGTCACTCAGTGTTGAAAACAGAGCAAATGTCCATGATGGTCCACTCAGTCCGTTCAGGTGGGCGAGTGTTTACGACTGGCTGGATCCTGAGGCAACATCTTCATCATCAGGTGGACAGGCAATAAAATCTGCCAACATGGAGGCCATCGCTTCATCATCCTGCTGGAGAACAGACAAACTCCAGTAATTTATCATCATATTCAAACATACAGAAAAACAAAGTCTGCTAGGAAACCTTCAGGTCTAGACCCAGAAACAGGCCTGCAACAATAACTAATGTTTCTGGGCAATTAATCATCCCAGAGGTTATCGTGATAAACGATAACATCGTTGTTTTGAGACAATTTGCCAGTAATGATAATAACGGCGTAATAAGGCAAGAACACATGCTCAAAGATCAATAAACTTTAAATTCTAATGAGCATTTAATACTGGAACTGGAAGTGGAAGAGATTTTAAATATAAAAAATAAATCAACAAAACAACAGAAACAATTAATAAATTGAGTTATGAAGTCTCTGGAAACAAAATTAACATAAAAAATGTTTATTTGAGACCAAAATTCCAGACTGAAGACTTTTAATATCCAGTTTTTGGTAGAAAAATGATAATGAAATTACAAATGAGTCTTCCTGACTACTTCCTGTACCACACATCCAGAGTCAAACCCAGTCCAGCTGCTGGACTGAGTGACTTTAATGTTTCAGTTCCAGCTGCTGTTTTATCCTCCATGGAAATATTTTTCACATCTAAATTTGGAAAACTTAGATTTAAGGTGGAATTTTAAAAGACTTATAAAAGAAGAAAAGTTTATTGAAAACATATACCGTAATAGCTATTAATATCGAAAACTTGTGAAATATGACCAACATTTATTGTTCTTTACCTTTTTCTTTTCAGGACTTGGTCCTCCTTCGTCCTCTATGTCATCCTCCTCTCTCTTCCGCTTCATCCTTTTCTCCTCCTCAGAATTACTCTCTTCTTCCTTTTCTCCTTCGGGTTTTGTCCATTCTGCTTGAGTTTCATATCCTTGCTGCGTGTCGGTTTGATCCTGTTGAGGATCATGAGGAGCAGCGGGAGTCTCCTCGCCTCCCGATGCTCCTGCTGCAGCTTCCTCCTCCTGCACAACGACTGGCTCTTCCTCCTCCTGAAGCTCCGCCTCCACTGCCACCTCTTCTCCCTCACCAGCTTCCTGTTCACGTTCAGCCACAGACTCCTGTGGAATGGGACGGAACTTTAGACGGAACGCTTGGCTTCCTGATCACAAAACGCTAAGAAGATAATAAAAACCTAACTGACACACTGAGTCCACCTGTTTTTTAGAATCGAGATTCCTCTGGAAGATAAACTCTGCAGCTGATGGACTTGTTCTATTTCAGAACGATGCAATGTTGTGACTGCAAGTATTAATGCTAAATGCTAACATTTGTCTGTTTTGTGTTGCAATAACCATTTAGTGAGTTTCTGTAGAATTTCTTCAAACTATGTAAACTGTTAACTTGAAGGATCAATAAGGAATTTAAATCTTAAGTCTTTTGGGAAAACTTGAGGCCAAGCATCTTAAAACTGAAGTAAGAACTAAGAAATTCCTGCATTTACAAGAAAACGCACGTGATGCAAGTCCATCTTTCAGTCTCAGTGATCTGCTAAAACTCTGGGCAGATTTAGATTTAAAATCATTTTTATTCAACCAAGAAGTTTGTTTCTGACTAAATGAGGCACATATTTTCTAAAAGACACTAAAAGAAAATAGTAACAGTTTGGAATTTTTTTTTTTTTTTTTTTTTTGAGAAATTTGGAGTTAAGGGTCACTGGGGTTACACAGACGTGTGTAAGAATCCAACTGGTCTTGCTGTTGCTCACTAGGTTTTTCCACATGATTTGTCGCATTTTGCAGAATTATTCTGATAATAATTTAAGTTTCTATAGAACTTAACTTAAAAAGGCTCTAAACAACAGAGGCTTCTTCAGAACCACTGGAACACTGACTGCTACAGCAGAGCCTTCCAATAACTCTTAGAAGAAAAGTGAATGACATCCCATGTCCCTGTGGGGGTCCAGGTCTGGAGCCTACCTGCTGACTGTGAGCGGTGGGCTCCTCCTCCAAGGCCCCGGTGGGCGGGTTCTGCTGGCGGTTCTGGTCCCACAGTGTGAGCTGGTCCTGAAGCTCCCCTGCTGCCTGGGCAGCCTCCTGGCTGCTGTCTGCCCTCTCCTCCAGCGCTCCTCCAGTGACACACAGGATCTGAGGCATGCTGGGGTCATCCATGCGCTCGCTGTCATCCTCCCTGTCCCCCCTGTCTCCCCCCTCCTCCCCGTCCCTTGCCTCTTCCAGAACTCCGATGCTCTCCACCTTCTGGACCTTCATCCTCTCCTCTCCAAACAGAGCTCTGCTGCTCTGCAGCTCCTCTATGCCCCCCTCCGGGTTAAACCCCGCCCCCTCTCCCTCTTCCTCTTCTGCTCTCAGAGCCTTCTCCTCCTCCTCCATGGTCACCTCCTCTGACTTGTCCTCTGATCCCTCCAGAGGAGGCATGTCCCCATCTTCATCCTCCTCTTCCTCTTCAAGCTCTTCAGCATCCTCATCAAAGTCCTCGTAGTCCTCCCCCTCATAAAAGTCTTCACTGCCTTCCTCCTCTTCCTCCTCCTCATCCAGACCATCCTCCTCGTCCTCCAGCTCTTCATCATCCTCCATGTCCTCTTCGTCTTCATCTTCATCATCAGTGCTGTTTATGTTGATGACGGCTGAGTCCTGGTTGCTGGGTGGAGCTGGGGGTGGGTGCTGGTGGAGGTGGCGGCCCTGCTGGGCCAGCTGGTTCTGCAGCTGCACCTGCAGCGGCATGGCCATGGAGCCAGGGGGTCCCTGGGGCCCCGGGGCCGGGGGCTGCAGCAGCATCTGCTGCAGCTGGGGCTTGACCGCCACGGGGTCCGCCAGGCCCCCAGCAGGAGGGGGGGCGGAGCCGGGGGTCAGTGACGTCACCAGGGAGACCACTGAGCCGCTGGAGGGGGGGAAGGAGTTGGCTGGGGTGCTGGAGGTGGGGACCAGATCGTTGGGCAGCGACGTCACGTCCAATGAGGCTGGAGCTGCCGTGCTGGGAACCATGGCGACAGTGTCTCCCCCTGGCAGGTTGGCACCAGCCCCCACCGCAGCAGACAGCAAGTTCTGGGAGCCAGGGGCCGGATCGTCCAGCTGGCTGTCGGCTCCCAGCATGCCTGGCGGGACGATGACCACG